TTCTCCCAATTCCTTCCCCGACGGAGAGCCCACGCCAATCCAGCGGCACAGCGAGGCTGTTGTAATGGGATGTGACATTTCTCATCACGAAAGGACTGGCGGGGTCGGGGCTGACAGGCTCCTTCAGGCACCAAACCCCGGCTTGACGGTGACGGTGACGGTGAGAGGGTCGGGGTGGCGTGGGCGAGCCGGAGCCGCTGGGGAACATCCCGTGCCCCAGATCCGACACCAGGATCCTGCTGGAAGTGAGCTGCTGCTCAAACAGGCGGCTGAGCTGGGGAATCCAGAGTTTGGGAGTGCTGGGAGCTGGCCGGGCCCTGCCCTGATCCCTCCCGGCCTCCCTGCGCCAGGATATTTGTAGGGAGAGTTTCTCTTGGATATTTGGAGGGAGAGCTTCTCTTGGATATTTGGAGAGAGAGTTTCTCTTGGATATTTGCAGGGACAGTTTCTCTTGGATATTTGGAGGGAGAGTTTCTCTTGGATATTTGCAGGGAGAGTTCCTCTTGGATATTTGGAGGGAGAGTTTCTCTTGGATATTTGAGGGAGAGTTTCTCTTGGATATTTGGAGGGAGAGTTTCTCTTGGATATTTGGAGGGACAGTTTCTCTTGGACATTTGCAGGGAGAGCTTCTCTTGGATATTTGGAAGGAGAGTTTCTTTTGGACATTTGCAGGGAGAGTTTCTCTTGGATATTTGGAGGGAGAGTTTCTCCTGGATATTTGAGGGAGAGTTTCTGTTGGATATTTGGAGGGACAGTTTCTCTTGGATATTTGGAGGGAGAGCTTCTCTTGGATATTTGGAGGGAGAGTTTCTCTTGGATCGCTCTTGGCTCACATGCTTTTTGTTGGAAAGCAGGACGAGCCTGGATGTTTCTGGGAGCTGGGGGAGGAGTGGTCCTCCCCAGTGCTGCTGGCTTTGGTGGGGAGGAGGAACCCCCAAAACCTTCACCTTCCTCTGCAAGGACACAGCGGAACAGATCCAGATCTATCTGCAATTATCATCTCATCCTTTTATTCCCCGTTCCAGCCTCGCAGGGAAGCTGGGTTGCCATCCCAGCAGCTCTGCCTTTCCTGGGATGCTCCCCCGCGCTCTCTGAGCCAATTCCTCCATGCTGACCTCATTCCAAAGATCACAGGAATTGAGGAGAACAAACCCGGGCTCCCACTGGGCCGGCTTTGAAGCCACTCGGCCGGTGAGGAGCAGCGCGGGAGGAGCCCCGGGTGTTTGGGATCAGCCTCCCCCTCGGACAATTGTTGGTTAAGGTCCCCTCGGTGCTTCCCATGGGGTGCAGCCCCGCCCCGGCTGAGCCCCCCGGTGTCCCCAGGTCCCCGGGCCAGGCTGGGACGCGCTCCCGGCGAGGCAGGAGCAGCCCGGCCCTGCTCGGCCGCGCTTGCCCGGGTCCCATCCGTCATCTGTTTGTGCTGGTGCCCTGCCAGCGATTGTGCCGATTCCCACACCCACTTTCCATCAACCTTCCGTCCTCGCCCGGGCGAATCGCTGGCGAGAGCTCGCCACCCATCCCTTTCCCCTCCTCTGCGATGGGATCAGACACGTTCTGGAGAGGTGGAAGAAAGGGAAGGGGGTGAAAAGAAAACAAAAAGATCAAGAGGGAAACACAAGGTGACTCACTGCCTTTAATTTATTTGTGTTTATTTATTTATTCCCCCCCTCCAAGCCTCGGTTGAGACGTGCAGGCAGCAGCAAGGGCTGGCCGTGAGCTCGCAGGGAGCCTCGCTCGGTGCCCAGGGCACCAGAAATGACAGGGATACAATTCCTCCCTCCTTTGGCCAAGGAAAAACCGCGGAGAGGAGCTCCTGGAGCTGTGTGGCACAGATTTTCAGGCTTCCCAGGTCTCTGCACGGGCATCCCGTGCCCCACCCGCCACAGAGCGGAGGGTGGGAATATCTAATTCCACCTCCTACACCGTGTCCTCGGCAGGGGAAAGAGAGAAAGAGCAGATAAAAGGCTGGGAAGCTCAAATGGTGTCATTAGGAACTATTAATGCGCTCATAAAAGGGCATTAATAAAGGCGGCAGCTCATCAGTGTCCATTAGCTCGGCTCGTGGCAGGGATCTTCGGGAGCTGCCGGAGTGTGATGCTCCCCTCGCCCTCACCGCCGTGTCAGCAAAGGGGAAAGGGGCTGGAGGGGGTGTTATTCCTGCGACAGACCATTCCCTGAGCAAAAAAACAAGGAGAAAATGTCACAGGGCGTCACACCCCACCTCTCCAATCCCTCCCGTCTCTCTCAGCCGTGCCCAGTTTGCTCCTTGCTCCCAGCAGAGCTGTTTACTATTAAAGAAAATAAAAGGCCGGTTTGGAGCGCTCATCCCGACTTTCTCCCTCCCGCCCTCTTCCTGCTCTCGCCTCTTCGAAAGGAGTTTTATCCTTTGACTCTCCCATGCCCGGGGCCAGCGGGGAACCCGCAGCACCGCGGGGCGAGCGGGCAGCCCACATCGGCGGGCAGGGAGGCACGGAGGAGGCCCGGCCTGGCCCGGGATGAGCCCGGGATGAGCCCGGGATGAGTTCGGGATGAGCTCGGGATGAGCCCGGGATGAGTTCGGGATGAGTTTGGGATGAGTTCGGGATGAGCCCGGGATGAGTTCGGGATGAGCCCGGGATGAGTTCGGGATGAGTTCGGGATGAGTTCGGGATGAGCCCAAGATGAGCCCGGGGTGAGCCCGGGATGAGTTCAGGATGAGTTTGGGATGAGTTCGGGATGAGCCCGGGATGAGCTTGGGATGAGTTCGGGATGAGCCCGGGATGAGCCCGGGATGAGTCCGGGATGAGTTCTGGATGAGCCCGGGATGAGTCCGGGATGAGTTCTGGATGAGCCCGGGATGAGCCCGGGATGAGCTCGGGATGAGCTCGGGATGAGCCCGGGATGAGCTCGGGATGAGCTCGGGATGAGTTCGGGATGGGCCCAGGATGAGTTTGGGATGAGTTTGGGATGAGCCTGGAATGAGTTCGGGATGAGCTCGGGATGAGCCCGGGATGAGTTCGGGATGAGCCCGGGATGAGCTCGGGATGAGCTCGGGATGAGCCCGGGATGAGCTCGGGATGAGCCCGGGATGAGTTTGGGATGCGTTCGGGATGAGCCCGGGATGAGTTCGGGATGAGTTCGGGATGAGCCCGAGATGAGTTCGGGATGAGCCCGGGATGAGCCCGGGATGAGCCCGGGATGAGTTCGGGATGAGCCCGGGATGAGTTCGGGATGAGCCCGGGATGAGCCCGGAATGAGCCCGGGATGAGTTCGGGATGAGTTCGGGATGAGCCTGGGATGAGCCCGAGATGAGTTCTGGATGAGCCCGGGATGAGTTTGGGATGAGTTCGGGATGAGCCCGAGATGAGCCCGGGATGAGCCTGGGATGAGCCCGAGATGAGTTCTGGATGAGCCCGGGATGAGTTCGGGATGAGCCTGGGATGAGTTCGGGATGAGCCCGGGATGGGCCCAGGATGAGCCCGGGATGAGCTCGGGATGGGTTCGGGATGAGTTTGGGATGAGCCCGGGATGCGCTGGGCAGCGGCACATCTGGGGGAGCAGGCACAGCTGGAGGACTCGCACACGTGTGCACATCTGGGTGGTGTTGGTCTGCACATCTGGGGTCTGCACATCTGGGGTCTGCACATCTGGGTGGTGTGGGTTTGCACATCTGGGTGACGCAGGTCTGCACATCTGGGTGGCGGGTTTGCACATCTGGGGTTTGCACATCTGGGGGTTTGCACATCTGGTGTCTGCGCATCTGGGGTCTGTACATCTGGGTGGTGTGGGTTTGCACATCTGGGGTTTGCACATCTGGGGCCTGCACATCTGGGGGGCACAGGTCTGCACATCTGAGGCCTGCACATCTGGGGCCTGCACATCTGGCCAGGGCCACAGCAGCCCCACGGCCCCGCCTGTCCCCTCCAGCACCCCTGGGTGCTTCTCCCCTCACACCCTGCGCCGCCCCTTCCCCCCCAGGCACCCAAACCTGCCCAAATCCTTTCCCGTCACCCCCGTACCACCGGGATATTTCGGTTACAGCCGCCAGGGTGGCAGCCCGTGTCCAGGAGCCGATATCTGAGGGTCCTTCGTTGTGCCAGGGGCAGCTGGCAGGAGGCTGTCACCGCCTGTGACTCAGTCCAGGCAGGGAAAGGGAAGCTCTGGTTGTGGGGAGCCGAGGCACTGAACCCCAATCCCCACGTGCACTTTTGCTGGCAGTTATCTGAGGCATCTTTTTATTTTTTCTTTTTTTTTTTGGGCTAACAACTCCCAGGGCAGGTTAGGACAGAGGAGCCCTGGCAGCGGAGCGTGTGTGGGCAGGACTGGAATAACGGGTGCCAGAGGAGAGGATTTATGAGTGCTGGGAGGTTGGGAATGGCCGGGAATAGCACAGCAGGTCAGGGGTGAGGTGGGGTGTGCAGGGCCAGGATGTGGGTGCAGCTCCTGGTATCGTCCCTTTGTCATCCACACAGTCCCACAGGATGCTCAGAGTCCCAGGAAAGGCCCCCTGCTCCCGGGAAGCACCCCAGGGTGGGGATGGGGAGCCAAAGCTCCCGTGGGACACGCTCTGTGAGCTGGAGATTGTTGAGAGCAAAGCCAAAGCTTTGCCATGGGGATGCTGCTGGAAATCACCACAATCCCAACTCTCCCAAATGCTGCTGTGCCAAGCAGCACCGAGAATTTTCATGGAATTAGGGCGGTTTTCCCAGTGTGCCACAGCCTGGATCCCTGGCCTGGATCCCCAGACCGTGGATGGCCTCTGTGTGCAGGTGACAGCAGTGTCACCTGTGTGCCAGGGCATTGTGGATTGAGCCCCTAAATCCCAGAAAAGCCCTGGCACGCTCCTTCCCACCCACCTGGAGAAAATTCTCTACACCAGGAAATGGTGAGAGGATGATCTATGCAGGGAAAACAGAGAAAATGCTGGAAAATGAATCCCTGTGGGAGCAGGAGGGTCCATCCCCCTGTGCTCCTCCTGAGGACACCAGTCTCACCCAACCTCCCTCTTTTTGTCCTTTCAGGGCTCGGATCTGAGGGTCGGGAGGATCAAAGGGAAGGTCCTGACAGGTGAGTGCAGACCCCAAGTGAGGGGATGGGGTCTCAGCCAGCTGGGACACGGGGGTGGCAGTGCTGGCTGGGGTGGGCACACCAAGACACGAGGGAGAGACACGAGGGGGGGACACGAGGAGCTCCCTAAGGCACAGCTGGGCACTGCCTGAAACAGGAGCCACTTTTTCTCTCATTTTTTCTAGAGGCAAAAGTGGTTTAAAAACTCCCCAGCGGTTGGAAAGGCTCCAAACCAGTGCAAGAAGAGGGGGGAGGGATAAAACCCAAAAGAAAAACACAAGATAAAAGCAGGTGAATCCCAACAGCTCCTGTGATGTTGGAGGAACAAAGACTTTCCGTTCCAAACGGGCCAGACGTGGCTCAGAGGGGTCACAGCCCGGGGGAGAGGGGCCGGGGGCTCACCTGGCAGAGCTTCACCCCCTGGTCCCTTGGTGCCACATCCTCCTGTCCCTGCTGGAGAGCGAGGGGTGGCTGTGCAGGGACAAGCTCTGCTCTCAGCAGCTGGACATGCCCTGAGGCAGCTGCAGGCCGCACATCTGGGCAGCTGTGCACCGCTGCCCCCCAGCCTGGGGCAGCCCAAGGGGTGCTGGCCGTGCCCTGGTGGGGGGCTGGGGGGTCTCAGGGGAGGTGCAGATGTGGGAAGGGGATGGAGGAGGGGTCAGGGTGGTCCGGGACGTGGCGAGGGGCTGTTGTGGTGCGGGGTCACGGTGCGGGGAGCTGCATGGGGGAGCTGATCCCGGCCTGGAGGAGGGGGTGGGTTGCTGCTTGTGGTGGGAATTTCAGCTCAGAGGGACACTCAGCCCTTCTCTCCCGCATCCCAGACTACAGCCGGCCCAGACCCTCGCGCTACAGCGGTTACCACCGCTACCAGTTCCGCCTGTACCGGCAGCCGCCACACCGGAGCATCTCCCTGAGCCCCGAGGAGCAGGATTCGCTGGGTAAGGACCCTCCGAGCGCTCCATCCCCGCCCCGAGGGGCTTTTCCAAGGCTGTGGATAACCCGCAGTGCCCTGGCAGGCTGGGGATGCAAAGGGATCCTTAGAGGGGACGTGGGTGAGGTGTTAAATCCTTGCCAGGCTGCAGAAACCTTTGGGAAACGCCTGGTAAGGGCCTGGCTAGCGGGATGGGAAGCAGGGAGAGATGTGGGCTGTGAAATGCAGCCCTGGCTGGGCATCCCCCCCAGCCCGAGCCGCGGGAATTGCATCCCCGAGATAAGGATCAGAAGGTTTTAGCCAAGGGATTGCTCAAACCGGGCTGACACAACGCCCAGCTCCTCCCAAAATCTTTCACAGGAGGGATGGAGCAGCTGATCCCACCCCAAAAACGCCGAGGGTTCTTGATGCTCCATGCTGGGACAGCCTGGCACGGGCAGGGACCCACCGTGCCCGTGCCCAGCGTGGAACTCGGGGCTCTGTGGCTCCCACGAGGGAAATTTCTAAACTTTCCCAGCCAGGACCACACGAGCAGGGCTGGAGGGGCAGGTCAGGTCGGTGTGTCCGGGCTGCTCTGCCCGGCTCATCCCGTGCCCGGTAACCCAACCCGGAGTGGGGCTGGCCCGGGGGGCTCTCAAACAGCCCCTGCCCCCCTCCCTGGCACCGAACCGTGGTGCTCATCCCATGGCCGGGGTGGGATGAGGCTGCCACGAGTCTCCCTGCGGGTTCTCCCTGCCCTCGGCTCTGTTTTCTGGCTCATTAGCTCCGCTTCTTAATGACAGCACGGATGTCACCCCCCTGCCAGCCCCTCGCTCCTGCTCCGTGTTGTCCCCACGTTCCCACCGCAGCATCCCAGAGACACCCACCAAGGAGCTTTTCCCAGAGAAATCCTCTTTCTAGCGGGATCTGCTGCTCCAATCCCCCCGATTCACCCCCGGGAGGGTCCCCAGCACTCGGCTGTCCCCAGGGCGGGGGTGGCCGGGCATTCCCCAGCTGCCGCTGTCCCCATCCCATCTCCCTTCCCAGCCCTTCCTGGGAAAGACCCAGCGGATATTTTGGAGATTTTTCCGCAGGATCCGATGCCTGAGCATCGTTTGTCAGGCAGCTGTGGGGGTCTGGCAGGGGCTCATGTTTAAGGAGTTGGTTGAAGGTTATTTTTAACCATTTCATCGCTGCATCACATCCTTGGCCTGGCCGGGGGATGCTGCTGGATTCAGACACCGACAGCCCATCATCTTGATTCGCACGGAATGAGCCCTAAAAGCTGCCAAAGGATGAGATTTTGGCGTCTCAAGGGTTTTAAATAAATCCATGCCCAAGGCAGCGGGATGAACGCCGATGGATCGGGCGCATCCAGCCCCGTGGTGCAAAGGCAGCGCGCGGGGGAGAGGAGCAGACACCTCTGGCAGAAGGGGGGACAAGGAGGGGGTGACCCCAATCCCAAAGGATCACGGATGAGAACCCAGCCCGGGCTCTGCCTTGCTCCTCTCCTGCAGCAGGAGCGATGCAGGATCTTCCGGCGATGCCGCAGGCACAGTTTGCATCCTTGCTCAGAATTCCCCGTTTTATTTGGCCTCAAATGAACCCCTTCTTGCTGTTTTTACTCCATCCTACATCTGGTGACAACGACATCTCTGTCTCACCGAGGTTGGGGACCAGCCCTGGACAGGGGCAGGTCCTGACCAGGCACAGGGGGTGGCACTGGTGCATCCCAGCCTCGGGATGTGCCCAACCTCAATGTGCACCAGGGCATCCCTCCCTCTGTTCATCTCCCAGAGAATTCCCTGCTGGCTCAGGATGTGCTCCGGAGGCCGGGCCGGGCAAGGGAGGTGACAGTGGCCGGGCCGGGGGAGGTGACAGTGGCCGGGCCGGGGGAGGTGACAGTGGCAGGCGGGATGGCAGGAGCTCGGCCGGAGCCTCCAGAAGAGGGCACTAAACCAGGCCCTGCCCGCGTCGCCTGTCCCTGCTGCTGGGAAACATCCCTGGGAATTTAAAACTCGAGGGCGAGCGTGGATAACAAATCCCAGTTTCTTCTCCCTCCTTGCCTGGCTCAGAGGCAGCGGGGACATTTCCACCCTGCCGTGGGCATGTCCTGGTTGTGTGGCACTGACGGGCACAGGTCGGGTCCTGGAAGGGCTGCAGGACCCGGACACGTCCCCGTGTCGCTTGTGACAATGTGGAAATCAGTTGTTTACGGCCGGGGTGTTTCTCCAAAGCGTCTCTTGAGCAAAAATGTTGTTTCATCAGGGAAAAAAACCACCCTGATCCTTCCCCTGAGTGTTTCTGATCAATCCCAGCACCAGCCGGCTCCCTGTGACCTCAGGCAAATAACTCAGAGCCTCAATTTCTCCTCTGGAGTCTGATTCACTTCAGTTTTTGGCCGTGCCACTAAATTGTCACCGAGCACCAGCTCTGTGCCCGCTCAGTACCGAAGGTGGGGACGTTTGGGGTGTCTCCACGGCTCTTCCTGCCACTCACCCCACTTCCCTCGCAGCCAGGGGCGTTAGAAGCCGTGGCTGTGTTTTGGGGAGATGCAAGATAATAATTTGTGGTCTGTGAAATGTCACAGCCACCGCGGCATCCCGCCCGCCACAGGCTCTGATCCACGGGAAATTCCACGGCCGGGGGAATTCAGGCACCCACCAGACCCCGGTGTGGTGCTGGGCAATTACAGTTCCCCCACAGCTTCCATCGAGGGGGATCATTAATTAGCACAAAATCTTGAGGCTTGATTGCATCCGAGTTCATCCCTCTGCTTCCACCTTTTCCATCAGCTCCAGTGAGCTGGGGAGAGGCTCCAGATTCCCAAAGTCCCTCCTGGCCTGGAAAGGTGTTTTACAACCGGGAATGGATATTTTTTTATCCTTTTTTTATTTTTTCCTCCCAGGAATTTTGCCCTGGGGAGCAGGGACAGGGCTGAGCCCGGCCAGCCTTTGGCTCCATCCCTCTCCAGCTCCAGCTCCGCATCGGGGCCGCGGCTTTGACTCATGAGCCGACCTTGTGCGCCTCCAACCCGATCCACCCAGCTGGAAAATCGGGTTGGACTGGGCCCCGGCGGGGAGGGAGGTGGCAAAGGGCTGCGGGGAGAGCCCGGTGCCGGCCCACGTCCCCGCGTGTCACTCCGTGGTGACCAAAGCCGCTGCCGGCCACCCGCCCACCCCCGCTGGGACATCATTAATCTCGGCACAGGAGCATCAGGGCTCCCATCAGGAGAGCAGCGCCGCTGATGAGGCCCATAAATTATAGCCGGGGGTGGGCAGGAGGCGAAGTGTGGGATGGGCGGGATGCCCGTGCCTCAGTTTCCCCCGCGGGTGCTCCGGGCTCAGGCGGCACTCCTCTTCCTCCGGCGGGTGCGCGGATAAGAGCCGAGCGGGATGATTTAATCCTCGGGGAAATGAGCTTGAAAACGGACCAAGCCGCGGATGAAAAGCCGTATTGTGGCTGCGGGGAGAGGGGACAGCGGCCCCGCGACCTCGGCTGCCCGGCCGGGCCCTGCTCCTTTCCCAGCTCCGGGATCCCAGTGACTCACAGCGCCCGGCAATTAAAGCTCCCCCACAGCTTTCATCGAGGGGGATCAGTAATTAGCACAAAATCTTGAGGTTTGATTGCATCCGAGTTCATCCCTCTGCTTCCACCTTTTCCCATAAACCGGGGGGATTTGGGGATTTGGGACGGCTGACCCAGGGATGTCACCCCGCGCCGGGAATGCTCACGCCGCTTTGGGGACGCACCCGAGGGGTTGGATTTGGTTGTAGGGTACCCCCAAATTTGTCACCCCCCCTTTTGCCACAGCCACGGCTGCCCCGGGGCTTTCCCTGGCCCGACGGGCCGGGCACTCCCGGTGCCAGGGCAGGTAGGAAAGTAGGTCAGGAAAAACCCATCCCCACGAGCAGGGCGAGGGCCGGGACCGGCTCCTGCAGCCCCGCCGGGGCTCTGCCTCCCCCGGCTCCTTTCATCCGCGCCCCTCCGGAGGCTGCGGCTCCATCAGCGCCAGCTCCGGCACCCATGGGAGCCGGGGGTGCCGCGTCCCGCTCCCAGCTCGGCCCCACGGGCACCGGCGGCTCTCCCGTGGGGTTTTCCAGCGCTTTGAAAGCCTCCGGATGAAAGGCACCCACCCGGAGAAGCGGCGGGCGCAGCGGGAGCGGCTCCCCCCGAGGCTCCTTCCCTTCATCGGGACCCCCAGCACGGAGGGGGTTGGGCTGCGACCCCCAAGCGAGGAGCTGCCCTCCCTGCCGAGCTGGAATTTGGGGCTGGTGGCTCTGGGTCCCGGTTGGCGGTGACCCCAGCGCAGGACATTGGGGCTGTCCTCGCTCTCAGCTTGGTTTGTGTCCTCGGAGGGTGGCAGGGGACACTCGGGAGCCTCCAGGAGCAGCCTGGTGCATTCCAGCATCTCATCCCGGCTGGAATGTGGGGTGCAGCTCCTTCCTGAGCATCCCCTGAGCTCCTTCCCTGGCCCCGCAGCATCCCAGGCGCGGCTCCCGCAGCTCCGCGGGGTCACGGGCTGTGCTACCATCACCACCAGAATCTCCAGAGCTTTTTTTGGAGCTCCGAGCCCGGGGTGGGGAGCAGGTGGGATCTCCGCCAGCTCCCGGAGCCATCAGCACCCCATGGAGGTGATGCAGCAGCTCGGCTTTTGCTCAGCACTTTTCTTGCAAGAGCAAAGGGGACGCTGGGGCTGAGATGTGGCAGCAGATAAAACTGCCAGGCTGCCGCGTGACATTCGAGAGCAGCCAGGAAGAGGAGAGGACAGGTTTCAGATAAACAACGGGCCCCTTTCCCCGGTGCTGGCCCGCAGGAGGGGCAGCGGGAGCTGGTGGCTGCCAGGGAAAGCCCCTGGTCAGGGCAGGATGCTCCGGCACCACCAGCCAGACACGGGCTCGGTGCCCGACCCTGGCAGGGCACAGGGGGATTTCTGCCGGCTATGAGGGAATCCCTCGGGCCCTTCCACCTGGAGAGGCTTTCCCTGCTGCCTGGGTGGGAAAAGCACAGCTGGATCCAGCAGAAGCTGCTCCGGGGTCCTGGGGTCAGGGCAGGCAGCGGGGGAGGAGGGTCGGGAATGAGGAACCCCCTCTGCTCCAGCAGCTCAGTGAATGCCACTGAGGGGGACGGGGGACGTCCTGTGACATCCCCAGGGGGATTTCCAGCCAGGCCACCCCCGGGGTGGGCTCGTAGGAAGCCGTAGGAAGGTTTGCTGCAAAGGTCAGGGGGCAGGAGAGGAGCCTAGGTACCCCTGGCACCACCAGAGCTGGGGTCCCTGTGACTTGTCGCTGTCCCTGGGGCCTCCTGGGCTGTGCAGGATGTGGTTTGGGGCAGAGCAGCAGCTGCACAGGGCTGCTCCCCTCTCCATTCCTCCTCCAGCCCTGCTCACCCCCTTTTCCTCTCTCCCCAGGCACCTGGGACTTGAAGGACTTTGTGGAAGATTTTCATCTGGGCCACCCTGTGGCCTCAACGCAGTTCCTGACCAAAAACTACAAGGATTAACTGTGGCTGTCCCTTCCTTGTCCCACACACCCCCACACCACAGAGCACCTCTGCCCGGAGCAGAGGGGACCCCAGGAGCCACCGAGGACGAGCCCACCCAGCTCCCCACCCCGAGCCACAGCACCACCCCCAGCTCCTGCCCTCCCCTCCCAAAGCCAAGTTCTCTTTCCCTCTGGGGAGATGCCAGGAGGTGCCCCAGCTCACCTGGCTATCCCAGGAATTCTGCCATCCCCCCTCATCCTCCCTTCACCCCATTTCTGACTTGACCCCCTGCATGTCCCCCTGGCACTTTTGGGGACTTTGAGTTTGATGCCTGCGGCTTCCCGAATAAAATTTGGATGGAGCAGACGGGGCTGTGTGGCAGCAGTGGGCACAGGGGGTGGCAGTGCCAGCTGAGCCCGGCGTTTTGGGGTCTGTGTGGGGTGAGCAGACCCCTGTGGGCAGCGGCAGCAGGGGGTGGCCAGCCAGACCCTGGTTTAGGTGACACCAGGAGGGGACAGGGACAGTGATGCCCGCCCTGGGGTCCCTGTGCCCTCAGCCCGTTTCTCTTGGAAAGCAAAACCAAAATGAAAGGCATAAATCAGCAGAGCTCTGCCTACTGGCCACTTAGCCGGGCCTCCCCTTTAATTAGCTCTTTAATTAGGCTTTCATCTAAGACTCAGTTTTCTCCGAGGCTCAGATTCACCTGCCTGCAGGTCCTCCTTGAGGCACATCGTGGTGACAAAGCCACCTCTGTCCTGCCCACGGCCAGGAATAATATTGCCCTTGGAACAAACCGTGGGGAGCAGAGCCCGGGACATCCTGCGGCCGGGGGAAACTGAGGCACGAGGGAATGACTCGCTCAGGGCTGGGCAGGGAGGCCCAGGAGCCTTCAGAGGGGTTGTGGTGCTCTGGTTGCTGCATCTCAGCTCTGCATCAGTGCCTGGGGCTGGAACAAAGCAACCTCATCCCCAAAAAACATCTCTGGGCCATCCTGCTGGTCACCTTCCCTGGGCAGAGAGAGCAGATTGCAGTCCTGCCTGGGGGGTTAAATGTGGATTTCAGTCCTGGATTTTAGTCCTACATTGGGGTCTTAAACATGGATTTCAGTCTTGCACTGAGGGGTTAAATGTGGATTTCAGTCCTGCACTGGGGGCTTGAAAATGGATTTCAGTCCTGCACAGGGGGCCTAAACATGGATTTCAGTCCTGGGTTGTTAAACGTGGATTTTAGTCCTACATTTGGGTGTTAAACATGGATTTCAGTCCTGCACTGGGGGGTTAAACATGGATTTCAGTCCTGCACTGAGGGGTTAAATGTGGATTTCACTCCTGGGCTGGGGGTCTAAACATGGATTTCAGTCCTGGGTTGTTAAATGTGGATTTTAGTCCTACATTGGGGTCTTAAACATGGATTTCAGTCCTGCACTGAGGGGTTAAATGTGGATTTCAGTCTTGCTCTGAGGGGTTAAATGTGGATTTCAGTCCTGGGTTGAGGGTCTAAACATGGATTTCAGTCCTGGGTTGTTAAATGTGGATTTTAGTCCTGCACTGAGGGGTTAAACATGGATTTCAGTCCTGGGTTGTTAAATGTGGATTTCAGTCCTGCACTGAGGGGTTAAATGTGGATTTCAGTCCTGCACTGGGGGCCTAAACATGGATTTCAGTCCTGGGTTGTTAAACGTGGATTTCAGTCCTGCAATGGGGGGTTAAACATGGATTTCAGTCCTGCACTGAGGGGCTAAACATCGATTTTAGTCCTGCACTGAGGGGTTAAATGTGGATTTCAGTCTTGCACTGAGGGGTTAAACATGGATTTCAGTCCTGGGTTGTTAAACGTGGATTTTAGTCCTGCACTGAGGGGTTAAATATGGATTTCAGTCCTGCACTGAGGGGTTAAATGTGGATTTCAGGCCTGCACTGGGGGCCTAAACATGGATTTCAGTCCTGGGTTGTTAAATGTGGATTTTAGTCCTACACTGGGGTGTTAAACATGGATTTTAGTCCTACACTGGGGGCCTAAACATGGATTTCAGTCTTGCACTGAGGGGTTAAATGTGAATTTCAGTCCTGGGCTGAGGGTCTAAACATGGATTTCAGTCCTGGGTTGTCAAACGTGGATTTTAGTCCTACATTTGGGTGTTAAACATGGATTTCAGTCCTGCAGTGGAGGGTTAATGTGGATTTCAGTCCTGCACTGAGGGGTTAAACATGGATTTCAGTCCTGCACTGGGGGGGTTAAATGTGAATTTCAGTCCTGCTCTGAGGGGTTAAATGTGGATTTCAGTCCTGGGCTGAGGGTCTAAACATGGATTTCAGTCCTGGGTTGTTAAACGTGGATTTTAGTCCTACACTGAGGGGTTAAACATGGATTTCAGTCCTGCACTGGGGGTTAAATGTGGACTTTAGTCCTGCACTGGGGGGTTAAACATGGATTTCAGTCCTGGGTTGTTAAAGGTGGATTTCAGTCCTGCACTGGGGGGCTAAACATGGATTTCAGTCCTGGGTTGTTAAATGTGGACTTCAGTCCTGCACTGGGGGGTTAAACATGGATTTCAGTCCTGAGTTGTTAAACGTGGATTTCAGTCCTGCACTGAGGGGTTAAACATGGATTTCAGTCCTGGGTTGTGAAATGTGGATTTTAGTCCTGCACTGAGGGGTTAAATGTGGATTTCAGTCCTGGGTTGTTAAACGTGGATTTCAGTCCTGCACTGAGGGGTTAAATGTGGATTTTAGTCCTGCACTGGGGGGTTAAATGTGGGTTTCAGTCCTGCACTGGAGACTCAAACCTGGATTTCAGTCCTGCTCGGGGGGGTTAAACTTGGCCGGGACTTTCCCCCCAGGAAGTCCCTTTGCCTGGCAGGGGCTGAAGCACAGCAGGGTCCCGGGAAGGACCCGGGTACCCAGGGGGATGCAGGAGCAGGATCCAGCCTTGCCCTGGGCACACACGCTGGGTGAAGCTGCAGGAGCCGGCGGGAAGGAAAGCAACAAAAAAAGGAAGCTGGGTAACACCACAACGCAGGGAAAAAAAAATACAAAAAAACCCCAAAAAACATGAACCCTGCTGCCACTGGCGCTAAGATTAGCAGCAGAGGAAATGACACTGAGATGTCATGGAAGTCTGCTAAAGTTGGATTTCTCCTTTTTCTCTCCCTGCCCTCGGAGCAGGGTGTAATTGGGCCTGGATTGGAGCGAGGCTCGGGTGTAAATGAGAGGTCACAGCTGGGCTGACATCCTGCAGCCAAACTCCATCCCTGCCCTCCCTGCCCCGGCTCCCTGCGGCTGGGCTGGGGGGTTATTTTTGGTGGAGAAAAGGCAATCGGATGTTTGTCCTTCTAGGAAATGATTACCGTCGTTCCTGGGTTTAATTGGGGCTGAGACAAATCCAGCTGAGCTGGGATCGGGGTCGCTGGGAGCCAGAGTGACCCACGGCCCTGTGTGACACTGGTGGGATGGGGTGGGGTGGGATTAGGGACAGAGATGGAGAATGGGGATGGGGATGGGATGGGGAATGGGGGCAGAGATGGAGAATGGAAATGGGAATGGGGGATGAGATGGAGAATAAAGATGAAAATGGGATGGGATAGAGAGTGGAAATGGGAATTGGAACGGGGACAGAGATGGAGAATGGAAATAGGAATTGGGTGGGGAATTGGGGCAGAGATGGAGAATGGGGATGGGGATGGGATGAGATGGAAAATAAAGATGAAAATGGGATGGGATGGAGAGTGGAAATGGGATGGAGAGTGGAAATGGGAATGGGAACGGGGGCAGAGATGGAGAATGGGGATGGGATGGGATGAGATGGAGAATAAAGGTGAAAATGGGATGGGACGGAGAGTGGAAATGGGATGGAGAATGGGAATGGGAATGGAGAATGGAAATGCGATGGAGAATGGAAATGGGGATGGGAATGGGGGCAGAGATGGAGAATGGAAATGGGAATGGAGGAAGAGATGGGGAATGGGAATGGGGATGGGATGGGGAATGGGGGCAGAGATAGAGAATGGGGATGGGAATCGGATGAGATGGAGAATAAAGATGAAAATGGGATGGGATGGAGAGTGGAAATGAGATGGAGAATGGAAATGCCATGGAGAATGGAAATGGGAATTGGATGGGGAACAGGGGCAGAGATGGAGAATGGGGATGAGGGGAGAGATGGAGGTGGAGGTGGAAATGGAGGTGGGGATGTTGATGGGACAGGTGGGAAGTTGGATAGAGAACAAGGATGGGAGTGAGGTGAAGATGGAGAAGGAGAGGGGAGTGGAGATGAAACTGGGGATGGGGATGGGATGAAGATGGAGATGGGGATGGAGGAACATGAATGGAGATGAGGATGGGGATAGGATGGAGATGGAGATAAAATGGGATGGGATGGGAGGGGGATTGGGAATGGGAATAGGGATTGAGAGTGGGAACAAGGATGAGGACAAGGATGGAGAATGGAAATGGAAGTGAGGATGAGATGGAGAATGAGAATAGGGATGAGGATGAAGGTGGGCATGGGGAAGGAGATGGAGATGGGGACAGGAATGATCTAGATCAGGGGTCTGCCCTGCTGGCTGCACTATCCCTGTGGTGGGATGATCCCAGGACACAGCCCCAGGCACCCGTGCCCTTGTGGGGGCACTCATGGCAGTCCTGGCCAGCCCTGCACCACAAATTCTCACTGGGATGCACACGAGGCCTCCACGGCATGGAAAATATTAATTGTGGTTTTCTGGTTCACTTTTTGATTATTTAGAAAGAGTGAAGGGAAAAACTCACAAGGAGGAAGCCGCGTACAGTCACTTCGTGCTGGTCCCACCCCCTTTATCTCTCCTTCCATTCGCTCACCATCGGCGCGAGAGAGAGAAAAGAGAAGCTGAGTCTCTCAGCTGCCTAAATGTAGAAAGTTTTGCTTCTAAATCAGTTTGTGATGGAAAGGAAACACGTCACGTCCCTGGGGAAGTGGCTGGTTTTGAGCAGCCACAACCCCAGCGCCGAGTGCTGCAATGGAACAGCCCAACACTGAAATAGCTCCACGCTCTGTTATTGTCACCCAGAGAAGTTTTTTTTTCACTGTCTAAGGTGTCATTTTTAGCCTCCAGAGGAAGTTTTATTTGTATTTGTTACCTCGACTTTCCACTGTCGTGGCTTCATGGCTTTTTCGTGTGAAGGGCTGGGAGAAAACAGAGTGGGGTGAGCTTGAGGTGTGGGCTCGGTGGGGTGTGAGCTGGGACCTACAGCCCCAATGGCACATCCCAGGAATTCCAGCATGGATTCACCAGCCCTGCAGAGCCCAGCTGCATCCCAAGGCCACAAACCCGTGGAAACACAGAATCCCAGGATTTTGGGGGGCTGTGAGCTGAGCTGAGCCCAGGCATG